TACGTGGACCACCATATTGTATGCTTGATCTAACACCCCAAGGTTGAAAAAAATTGATTTTCTTTTTTTCTATGTTTTTCTTTCTATATTATATTATTTATAGAAATAATTGCTAAAATAAAAAAACCACCACCATTATTAAGACCTTCAGTATCAAAACAAACTGCACCACCTGAATATATTAATTCAATGAAACAATGTTGGGCTGAACAAGCAGAATCAAGACCATCATTTAATGATCTTGCTCAGTCGATTAAATTACTTAATGGTGGAAAGTAAGTAAATTATACGAGATAAAGAAAATCAATATTAGTATAATATTTGATTGTTAATGAAAAATTTCAATATAGATTTTTTTTTCTCTTCCGAAGAGGCGATTCAAAAATATCGGAAAGACGACCACCTATTGTTGAGAGCATAGACACATAGTACATGCTACAACTCCAAAAGAGTCAGCTTCACACCAGATAAAATACCCTAACTGTTATCAATATTGCATGAGTAAGCATCCAATGAATATGAACCTTCGCATTCATTCTTGACAACAATCGTTATCAGTTAACTAATAAATGAAAATAGAAGTAAGTAGAGCCCATCGGATCCAAATCTGGTCGAAACAAAATTTTCAGAGCCGCACACCTACTCGGACCCGTCCGGATAGCACCCGATGGGCTCTAGAAATAAGCTAATTGAAAAAGTTGATTATGATAGATTTACAGACAGTAAAATAAATGATCCAAAAACTTGAAGGTCTACAGGCATTCTAACAGATTTTTTTAACAATAGAAAAGTAAATATTGTTGATACAATGTTTAAAATGCTTGAACAATATTCAAATAATTTGGAAGAATTAATTCGTGAACGAACAACACAACTTGAAGAAGAGAAGAAAAAAACTGACAAACTTTTATCACAAATGTTACCACCGTAAGAAATTATTTTTCTTGATAAAAAAAATCGAAAACTCAAAAAACAAAAAAAAGAGAAAATACATTTTTCTTTATTCAGGAGTGTTGCTGACAGTTTGAAATCTGGTAAAGCAGTTGAAGCTGTATGGTTTGAATGTGTAACAATTTATTTTTCGGATATTGTTGGATTTACAACAATATCAGCATTAAGTGGTCCAATGGAAGTTGTTGATTTATTGAATGATTTATATACAATGTTTGATTCAATTCTTGAAGATTTTGATTGTTATAAGGTTTAGTATATACATATATTATCTAATATTAAAACTATTCTATGAAGAAGAAAAAAAAGACAGCCTAGTGATAAGAAATTCAACGAAGTTTTATCGAAATCTGAGAATTGTTTTAAGAGTACAAATTTTCCTTTTGTTTTATTTCAGAAATCGAAAACATTGAGCTATATCTTTTTTTCATATTCAAATAACATTTAGGTTGAAACAATTGGTGATGCATATATGGTAGTCAGTGGTCTTCCAATTCAAAACGGAACAAGACATGCGTCAGAGATAGCTACAATGGCATTAACACTCCTGCATGCATGTGGTAAATTTAAAATACGTCATATGCCTGGTGTACCATTACGATTACGTATTGGTCTGCATTCTGGTGCTTGTGTTGCTGGTGTTGTTGGTCTTAAAATGCCACGATATGTAAAGAATTTCTTCTAATAATTCAATGAAACAAAATATATTGTCTTTTTTTTGTTTGTTTGATAGTGTCTATTTGGTGATACAGTTAATACAGCATCACGAATGGAATCGACAAGCATTGGTATGGGAAAAACAAATTATCAATATTTTATGTTCAATATGAATATTAATTTTATTTTTTTCTTAGCCTTTCGTATTCATACAAGTGAAACAACAGCTGGATTATTAGAAGCAATCGGTGGATTTAATTTAGAATATCGTGGTATTACAGAAATTAAGGTAAATATTTTCAAAAAACAATTTCATTATAAATGAATTCAAATTTTCATTCTAGGGTCGAGGTAACTATAAAACTTATTGGCTTTGTGGAAAAGATGGTTTTAATAAAGAATTACCAGAAGCAGTTATTTCAGATAATAATCATGGGTATAAAAGAAAATTATTTTATTAAATAGAATATAAAGAAAGATTGTTTCTCTTCTCTAGTCTTGATGAAGAACTTGTTCGATTAGTTGAAGAAAGAAGGGCACAAGAACAAGAAGCTACTAAAAATAAAACAATAAATGATCAAATTCAAGTCAAACCAATTATTGAAACATTACCTGAAAAAGTATCAGCTTCTGCTTCGACTAAAATGAATAAAAATGATAAAATAGATGATTTATTAAAGTAAATAAACAAAACAAACAATTTTTTTTTTGTCAAAGAAAATTTTATCATTTTAGATTTACATCATCATCATCTAATCAACAAACATTATTTACATCAAATTCAACAACTAAAAACATAAATTCAAAAGAACTTCCAGCAAAATTACAACAACATATGAATGGACCTACACGAAAGTCAACTAAAGTAAAATGGTGATTTTCATAAAATATTTCTCTTAAATGTGTTAATCTATTCACATTCCTTTAATTATTGTTTCTTTTTCTATTTAAATCTCCGAATGTATATAAATATATAGAGAGAGCAATATTTGTACATGTCAATAAATCAATTTTGAGATTTTGTTATATATACGACTATTTGCAAAATAAATATGGACGTCACATATATATATATATATATTTTTTTTTTTTGAATGATTTAATAAAATTTTTAATACTACATTTCACAATGGATTATATAATACTTTGAATAGACATCATGACGGCGCTATAGGATGGCTGAGCCTCCCAGAAAACTTAAAATTTGTTGCTAATGATGATCCCACAGTAGGAAAGATCGGGTTTTTCTTCTTCACATAAACAGTAAGACAGTACTCATTAGAAAACTTCAAAGAGAAAGATATGGTAAAATTCCTTATTCTATTTTTGCAGTACCATCTATAATGAAAATTTATCTCATAATTACGGTCAATTTGAACTCTGTGGCTAGTACAAGAAAAAAATGGTCTCGACTATCTTTTACGTTTCATCTATGAGTTTGAGAATAGCTATAGTTTCCGTAACTTTCGTATTCTATTCTCGATACGAGTCAGTCATTCACAGTATATTATATGGATTTCTCTCAAGATCATAAGGCATTGCCCTATCACTCATACTTTCCTAGTTACGCCATTAATTCCGATAATGATACCTTTTCTTAACTCATTTGAATATAGATGAATAAATCATCATTATGTAATTGAAATGAGAAATTTGAAATTATTTTTTCTGCTTGAGTTTGTTTGATAAACTGTGTGCTTCCAAATAATGAATTCTATTCTCGATAGATTCATAAATATCTAATCAAAAAGACATATTATTCAAATAAAATAATCATAATTTCAGATGAATATTTCTTAAGTTAATATGTTTCTCAATTGCATTTATTTCTTATAAAAATTGATTTTCCAATAGAAACATTCATGTAACTTTGAATACTCAGAAAAAGAAACCAAGACATTGATATTACTAAAAAAAAACATGACATTATAATAACACGAGTAAATGAATTAAGAACAGAACATCAAAACTGACTCGCAGTGAGTGATTGTTATTCTTCCTAAATCTAATTTTAAAAAAAGCTTATCAACTCAACCCTTATGAGACTAAAACATGAAGTTCACATATCTCATATAAACTAAGAGGTAATTTTGTGGAAATATATTTTTATATAATGAAATATAATTTACTGATTAGAGCAGAGCATCTGTGTCTAGTCCATGTTTGTCTGTAATTGACGGGGAAAGAGGCTTGAGGCTAAAATGACGTAGCAATCGTTTACAAATGCATGCTTGTCAGTAGTGGGAGGTAATATCCAATTAAGATTACACTTTACATATTTCCTACATGAATCCGACAAAAGAGTAAAAATTAAATTTTTTTTAAAAAGTGTTTACCAATATAATACTTTCTTACTATTGATACTCATTTGGATGATAGCTTTGATATTGCTCTTTATTTAATTTGCACTTATGCACTAGTAAAATAAATTGAGTGTAATGAAAATACTCTCATTACCAGATTTCTACGGACTTAATTTTGTCAGAAAAGTATTTCCATAGTAATGAAATTATGTCTCAATTTGTCAATAAAATCAAGATTAAATATAAAATTCAATAAAAACTTATTTATATTTATTATAAACTTATTTAAAACAATCTGCTTGTGTTAACCCATTATGGCCATTACGAATTATAAAGTATATACAAAAATTTAAACGTATTTATTATTTTCAAATCACAGAAATTTTACGATATGAACAAGTTGAAAAAATGTATTATAGATATGGTTTTCAATTAGCTATTATTGATAATATTAAATTACTTGAACGATTACAACAATTAAATATGTGTAAGATAAAATAAATGTTTTTGTTTTGTTTATTTTCAAAAATGATTTTTTTCAGTTAATACAACATGTAAAGGACAATGTCCAAAAATAAGAGAATATTATATTGGATTAAAACGTTTGTCCAATAGTGAGAATCCATCAGAATCAAAATGAATATGGTCGAATCATGCAACATGAACACAGAATGAAATAGATGTGACTGACTTCTACCATTTTTAGCATGTTCGAAAAGGGACTTATAAGGTAAACAAAATCCTGTTGGCTTGTGCTTAAAAATAATTTTTTAGGTTTTTGGAAAAGTCGCTCATTACTTTTAAACACAAAAATAGATACAACATTTCTAAGTCCACATTCAAATGCTGGTCGTTACTTCTAGTTTTTGACTCGTTTGAAATGCTTTCAAGTAGGTCAAAATGAACGAACATGTTCACCAGAAACGTCGGTTCACAAGCTTTGTCTAAACTAAGTTTTCAAAGGTTATTTCATTACTCTCGAACAAAAACTAAGACATAATTCCTAACGAAGGAATATTGATCTAAAACTTCATTTATGAAAAAGTTTCACAGCCAATATATCGTCCTGAAAGGTTTTAGCTGAAATCAATGATCATGTTGAGAGATATTGAACATGGATTTCTTCAATGTCCTTCTCATGTATCTCTAGGTCATACAGATCTTATGACAATCAGTTATTTGATTAGTGGAAATACCAGCAGAATAGCACGTCCTTCTATCAAGTTTCGTTTTAGCCCAACAATAACATCATCATGTATTGATCAACAAGGATTATTAACTCAAAATAATCCTAAAACGAATGAATTATTAAATGTAGAACAATTACAATTAAAACATTTATCGAATGTAACTATTCATACATAAGAAACCAAACTAAACTTCAATTACAATCGATAGATTCAAATAGTTCATTAAATAGTTTTATTGTTATTTTGAAATATAATAATAAATTTTGAAAGCTATTCTCGTTTCAATAAAATTATAGAGAGTGTACGTGGATGTGGATGCAGAGATCACTCACACACACTCACATTCTCCTGATGTTCGTTCAAAAGTAACCAATCTGAACTAAACAATCAAAGGACGATTATTGCTTTAGAAAAAACAATTCATGATGAAACGAACTACTAGATTTTATATCACAAGAGTTCTAACGAAAACAACTCATTAGAATGAAAGACTTTGGTGATAGGAGACAATGATCTTTTTTTATTGAACGAAATTACCAATGGTGAAAAGGTTCATTTCCAGGACTGTGGGAATCATCTGGGATCATAGGAAGTCACACGAAAATCAAAGGACCTATGCATATAAAGTAATGTGAAAGAAGGAAATTCATCAAGTTCAAGACAAACTGTGATTATTAATAGACCTTGATGTATTCATAAAAATAATCTATGTACCCTTCGTTTACCAGGACAGTGTATGGTCGGAACCATTGTAGATTGCTGTACATTTATGAACCTTTTTCTTATGATTAGTCTAGGGTTAGCACGAGATGCAAGATATTATCACTCTTCTGCTAATATCTCTAGAGTGCGAGCATGTATCGATTTTTGGCTTTCGTTCCTCAAAAGAGAATACAATGGAAACATCTTTTAGAATGATCTTTCAAAATTTCAAGACTACACTTGATATTTCTCTATGCTCTGAGTCATGTCCATTTGATGAGTTAAACGGACATAGATCTCATTGTCGTATTGGATCTTTCAACGACTATCTATCAGATGGTTCATCAGTTCTTTCTAAATTAATTTCACACACGAATCGATTTCGTGGTCGAGCAACGGTTCGTTCTCATATTGATTATATGACCTATATACAATACAGGATAGCATTGCAAAATGAGTTGTGATATGCAACCAAAGATATTGATGTGTAGTAGGTAATGAGAGTTCGTTCCGTGACACTCTCATCTAATGGATTATGATTGTCTTCGCACACGCATTAAATCTACGTTCAATATTTCCAAGAGAACTAGTTATTGTTTCACCAAACGACATGATTTATTGAGTAGTTTAGAGAAACTCAATTGAATCGAAAGAGAAAATAAATCAATTCGTATTTTATTGATCTGAATTGTTAGCATGAATGTCTTAATACACAAAATATTGAAGAGCAGAATACTGTCTATCAACGACAAAATGACTGCGAATCGCATTTTTGATGTAACTTTTGACAGAAACAAGATAGAGAGCTGCGGTTTTCACTATTGGAAAGAGGAAGTAAGCGTTCTTGATAGGTGACTACAAGGAATTATCAACTATCTGATAAATATTGAAAGCAATAATTGAAGATCTATAAAACTGTGCACCACTCAGATTCTGAGCTTCAATCGTTCAGGAGTTATAAGCATTTTACTCGAAACTAGAAGCCCATTTTTCTAACAGTTCCTGTAAAAAATAAAACTTTTTTCTTTTTTTCTGTTTAATAAAAACTGTTTTTTCTCTACCCATTTTTGGAAAATGGACTTTAAAAGACTCAAAAAGCATATTTAGAAAAGTTTGTAAAATACGTTTCCGTGCTTCTTTATCTCCGCTTTCCAATAGCGGAAACTGCAACTCCCTATCTTGTTTCTATCAAAAGTTACATCAAAAATGTGATTCACAGTCATTTTATCGTTTGTAGTGTTCATCATTACTAGGAAGAGCTTCAAGAGTTCCAATTAAGAATATATTTTACTGAAAAAACATTTCTCTTTAACTTTGCGACACTTTTTTTCTTCACTCATCTCTCCGCTAAGGAGAACTAAACAACATCTATGTTTAAATAATACATATATAACTTATCTTTTGTTATCTTCTTCGTTTTATTTTACAGAACGTTTACTTTTTCTCTTCTACTCTGAGTGACAAAGATTAAAATATGTAATTTCACAAGCAGATGAAATTCTCGTATATTCTTCAATATAAAAGTGTTTTTTCTAGCTAGAATTAATCATTATTCATTGTATAATTTTTATACTGATTTAAATATGACTCAAAACAAACGACAACGATATAGTTTGACGGATAATTGTAATGATGATATTAAGAAGAAAAAATTACAATCTACTTCTCTTTTCTCCTCAATTACAAGTAATACATACAAGTTAGTAAGATATGTATAAAATTATTATTTATATTATCTTTCATTTCTTCGAAGAAGTTCGATCAATCAATTTGAAAATCTTTCAAATGAAGTTATTTATGAGATTTTTGAATTTCTCAATGTTTATCAACTTTACGAAAGTTTTTTCGATCTTAATACACGATTTCGAAATCTTTGTATATATTCAAATCTTCCAATTGAAATCAATAATCAGTCTTTGTCGAAATCGACTTTTCAACGTTATTATACTAATTTAATTCTGCCTAATAAACATCGAATTCGATCACTTGATTTATCTGATCCATTTATTATTGATTTCTTTTCTTTATCAACAGAAGATATTTCAAAATATTTTCAACTTCAAACACTTATTCTTGAAAAGATGGAGTCAGGATATCTTGAAAATCTTCTTACAAGTTTAACTTCTTTACCTAATTTATCTTCATTGATAATTTCTATTGGTCTTGGTTCAAATACAAACACTCTCTGGAATTTGATATTTCAATTACCAGTGCTAAAATATTGCAAAATATCTTCCGAAGAAAATACTTATTTAGGATTTTTACCAATGTCTACCCATACAATAAGTTCTATTGAACATCTAGTTATTAATAGCAAACTAGATTACACTCATATTGATGCTATTTTATCATATGTTCCTCAACTTCGTCGACTGTCAATTAATTATTTGTATACATATTACAGAGGCGGAATACATGTACTTCCGTTTGCTTCAAATAATTTAACCTATGTATCTCTCATATTAGATCATTTGATGTTTGATCAATTTGAAATGTTTGTTAAAAACTATCTTAGCCGAATAAAAGTATTGTACATTTCATCAAACTATGACTCGACATATTTAAATGCCGAAAAGTGGGAAAATTTGATTTTATCTCACATGTCGTATTTACAAATCTTTGACTTGCAGCATACATATGAAATATTCTATCGTAATAAACAGAAAATTATGTATGAGAATATATTTCAAAAATTTACTACTCCATTTTGGATTAAACGACAATGGTTTTTTGCACATGATACTAATTTTGGATCGCCTCTGCGTGGAATCTTCTATTCAGTTCAACCATATAAGTAAAAATAAATGGATTTTTTTTTTATTGAATATTAAATGTCAATTCTATTTTGATTTATTTAGAAGAAAATGTTTCACATTAACCGGCGAGTCAAATTTAGATGAGCATCCATCTCATGACAAAACTATTTTTGATTCAGTTCATCATGTGATTATTCAAGATGAAAGAATGATAGAGAATTGCTCAAAATACTTTCCAAATGCTAATCAACTCACTATTTCCGATCAACGTACTGATCGTGCTAAACGATCTACGATTATTAGCATTGATGACATTATTCCCTTGATACAGCTTACTAAACTAACGATTGATTATAGTCATCGTCCTTTTAGTAAAGTGATCGATTTGTTATATTCGACACCTAATGTTGATAGAATAGTACTCAAACATTTATCACTTGTTGCAACGGATTATTTTCCATTACAACACAGTGAAAAATTTCGATTGGTCTCAAAACATAATAAAATAAAAAATGTTACTATTTTATTTGATTATTCATTACGTAATATTCAACTATTGATGAATCTCTGTCCTAAAGTACGACAAATTTCTTTTGGTATTTCTGAGAGTTATCTAGAATCAACTGTGCAATTTTTCGTATCAGAAACTAAGAAAACTAATTGGTATTTATCTTCAATATGTATTTTTGGTGTGGATACAGTTATAAATGAAAAATTAAAAAGTTTAATTGAATCTGAAAAATTTATTAATGATTATTCAATAAAAATCATCGGTCGGACATTCTATCTTTGGTGGTGACATTCATTATTAATGAAGTCTTTTTTGTTTGACTGTTATTCTGTTTCAAGTAAAATAAACTATGAATAGTTTTATATTGTTAAATATAAAGGTGAACTACAAATAGTTAAATATGAATTAGTTTAATTAAGATACAGATGATGGTAATTGAAAATATATTAATTGTGGATTTACATCTGATAAAATACTCAGCAACGGACAATGTAGTCATTCTATATGATGATCGTTGAGATTTTTTCAATTAATTAAACTATATACATATTTTATTGATTAAATTTTACGATAAAATCAAGTTATTGTAATATGGAAATATCGATTGATTTTCTTTGATATATTATTGTGTTTTGATAATCTGAAGATTACATTAAAAACTATTAAAAAAAATGAACTTTAATTTTTCGCGATCTTAAGCAAAACTAATGAGAACGATAAAGTATAATAAATGGTAGTTTGAGGAACTTCATCCATCAACACCATTCATAGTCATGATTGTAAACGTCTATCGAAGATTCTCTTCTTTTTTTCATGTGACATGCATTAACTAGTTCATTAAAAAGGTGATCATCAGATACGAAAATTATTATCATGCAGTAGAAGAAATGTATATGTCGTACTATAGATTATAATTCAGTAGACCTCGAATGTATTCTGATCTGAACTAGTAGAATTGTAAGAAATTCGTTCGCATATTTCTTGACCTCTTTGTCTTTAACCAGATGCACTCCATCATGAATCAGTGAATCGTTTCGACAGCAAATAATCATATTGTACAAAGAAAGAGCTATGTAAAGAACGCCGAAGAGAATAGGTATAGTCAAGAGACCTTTTTGATCTTTGCTCGCGGTACAGAATTCAAATGTGGATGTGAGCGTGATAGGCACGAATAGTGCGAAACGCTTTTCATTTGGTGTTGTAGTGACGATGGTTTCTGGTTTACTCGACGCAAAAACGACGAATTTTAGCACTAGAGAGAGTGTTACCACAAAAATTGTTAAAATGATAAGAGAGCTGGCAATAATCACAACGTGACGACGCCACCATGTGCGTGTTCTATTATTTTCAAGAATATACTCACTGTAAACTTGGTTGCTATACATACTATGTGCCACAAAGAACGGTAATATAAAAAAAGAACGAGCTATTGTCCGAAAGTACTTTATATTTGTCTATCATTCTCACATGAATCACAACCCAGGTCGAACAATCTTATGAAATCTTACAAAAATCTTATGTAATCTTATGAAATCTTACAAAAATCTTATGCAATCTTATGCAATCTTACCAGAAGAGCATAAAGCATTCTCATCTTACAAAAATCATACAAGAATCTTACGAAATCTGGTCAAGTCTTACTATAAGATTTGACATTAAGAATCGTGCTTTATGTATCTTACAGAATCTTATGAATTCTTATAAGAATCTTACTGAAATCCGACGAAATCGTACAATATCTTACAGTAAGATTCTTCGACCTGGGAAAAGATAAGTTATATTATCTCCAATGTCAAAAGTGTTGTTATACTCTTATGTTTATATGAGAAATTTTTCGTGTGAGTATGATATTGCAAAAATTATGCTCTACTTCTAGGTTTTTTGGATCAAATGTGCTTATTTTAATGTTCTCTTTTTATTGAGAAAATCGAACAGCTCAAGGTACCATCTTCTTTATCGTATGTGTTACGCACAGTCTAGTCGTCGTTCTTTTGTTTGCAAACGGCTCTGTCAAAGTAACATGAAGTTTTTGGATGACATTTTCTGAACACAAATGAAATGTTTGAATAGATTATAATATTTTATACGAGATATTATAGCGATCATATTTTTATCCAAACGCGACGATAATTTCGGGTCTACGAAAATTGATCGTTGTAAATTGATCGATACGAAAATTGATCGATACAAAAATTGATCGACACGAAAATTGATCGCTACGAATATTTATCGATATGAAAAGTAGTCAAGCGTTTAGTTAAAAGAAAATAATCGTTTAAGTAAATTTTCTATTGATACTAATAGGTTAAACAGCGATAAAAAACATCTAGAGAATGATGGCAATTTTCAAATTAAAAAAGCATATATTTCACTGATGTAGGGAAATTATTATAGGCTAAAAATCACTTCAAAGAAACAGAATGGTATGTTGTTTGTCGAATGACACTTTGGTCGACAGACTTTTCGTCGAAAAACGTTTCGTCGACAAGACATTTTGTCGAAATTTTTTTTTGTAGAAAAGCATTTCGTCGAAAGTGAATTATTTTCTTCTTGTTTATCTCGCCGTCAGGAGACAAGTTCAAAAGTATCTCCTAATTAACTTTGTCCCTTTGGTGATGGTGGAAGAATTTTAGGACACTATTGAATAGAATTACATACTTTTCGTCGAAAAGTACTTCAAGGCAAGGTTTGTAGTCCCCGAGACAATCCCGGATTCTTCAATTCTTTTACAGAACTGTTCAGAATTAAGAGGACAGTGAATTTTCTTTCACTCTCACGTTTGTAGTGCCCTCGCCCTCACCCTTGTCTTCACTCTCACATTTGGAGTGTCTTGCATGAGTGTTGCCCTCACCCTTGCCTTCACCCTCACATTTGGAGTGCCTTGCATGAGTGTTGCCCTCACCCTTGCCTTCGCCCTCACATTTGGAGTGTCTTGCATGAGTGTTGCCCTCACAGTCGTGCTCACTCTCACTCACCCTTGCCTTGACGTCATGCTCACTCTCACATCTGGAGTACGTCTACATGGTCCTTGCCCTCACCCTCACCCTCACCTCACCTTTACATTTGCGGTACTCTCCATAGCCAAGAAAATACTTTCGACGAAAAACAGATATCCATCTGAGTTTATTGATGAAGTGCTTTGTCGACGAAGTGTCGTGTCGACGAAATGTTTTTCGACGAAGTGTCGTGTCGATGAGATGCTTTTCGACGAAGTGTCTTGTCGACGAAATGCTTTTCGACAAAATGTTGTGTCGACGAAATGTAGTGTCGACGAAAATTTTTCGACCAACTGCCTTTCGACGAAAATTTTTCGACGAATAACATGGTTACCAAAGAAACATATTTTTGTAAATTCTAATTAACTTCTATTACTATAAGATAAATTTTATATAATCCGATAAGGATTATGTTAATAGATTCTTAATAGGTTATATAAAGAGCTATTATACTAGACGGACCTATACTATTTTTTGTAAAATGGCGAAATTCACCTTGAGCACTACTCAAAAGAACAAATCTGTATTACTTCCGAAAGGGTTTTCTTACATTATTGATAAAACAACTATTGATAAAACTTATTGGAAATGTGAACATGCTCGAAAACTTAAATGTAAAGGTCGAGTTCATACTGATTATATTAATACAACATTATTATATGAAAATGATAATCATAATCATAGCGATAATGAGGTTTCAATTGAAATTAGAATATTTGAAGGAAAAGTTCGTGATCGAGCAATTAATCGTAATGAAACTACCCAAGCTGTTATTGATAATTGTCTGACGAATTTATCTGATTATGCCGTTGCTCGTCTTCCTGACTTCAAACATATTAAACGAAATATTCAAAATCGACATGAACAAAATGATTTATCAAAAATCTCTCATGATAAAACATTTAATCGAATTCCGAATAAATTAGCAACAACAAAAAGAAATACTACATTTCTACAATATGATTCTGGTCCAGACAATGATTGAATTGTAATATTTTCATCACCTGAACAACTAGAACTTCTTGAAAATTGTGAACAACTGTTAGTTGACGGAATCTTCCAGATTTGAATATCACCTTCCCGTTGTTATTTACAATTGCTTAATGAGCTAAATCTTTTAGGTTACGCCATCAATTTTTTATCAATTGTATGCTATGCACGTGATTTATCGAAATACTGTTTTACCTGTCGTATTCGCATTACTACCAAATAAAACCGAACAAACTTATCGTCGACTAATCGATAAATTATCAGAACTTTGTCCATTGTGAAATCCAAAATTTATAATGATGGACTTTGAAAGATCCTCAATAAATGCATTTGCTGATAAATTTACAACAACCACAAATCCATCCATAATGTCTGGCAGCTTTTTTTATCTACAAAATAGTATTCAACGTAAAGTCCAAGTCAGTAATTTAGCACTTTAAAAAAGCTCGACATTGAAACTTGTTTTTTTTCCGAAGAAATTTGGTTTAAAAACAAATTATGAACAAGATCCGACATTTGCTCATCATATTAATAAAATTGCTGCTCTTGCTTTTCTTCATCCAAATGATGTTGGTCAAGGTTTTGACGATTTATTTAATCCATTACCACAAATATTACATCCATTATTAAATTATTTTGAAGATACATATGTAGGAAGAAATCTTTTACAAGGGCGATCAAAACCGATGTTTGAAATAGAATTTTGGAACATGAATCAACGAACAACTGATCTTTTAATGCGTACTAACAACTCGGCTGAGGGTGTGAGTGTAGGTATCGATGGAGATATACACTCATATCCACACTCACGCCCTCACTCTCACACCCACACCATCACTCCCACACCCTCATACCCACCCACACCCACACCCTCAAGATCAAAAACGATGAAATGGAAACGAAAAAATCAATTTCTAAGAGAGAGCTAGTTTTCACTCTTAACGACGCCCCTTCTTTCGAGTGTCAATTTTCACTCAGTTGTATTCATGAGTCATTTGTTGTTTTTCGCACCACTCACTAGACGAAGAACGGAAGAAAACAACATCGCACATCACGGACTTCTTTTGATGTCGCATTTAACATTCCCACAGGAAAATGAAAAGGAAGCAAATGAATTCTGCAACAGCACTTTTACGATCAAGCAATGCTCGACAAAGACAGAAAATTGCTTTTTGAAAGATTTGTTTTAATATCAATATAGTGAGTAGGGTTCGATTTCTTTAGATTTTCATCGTACAAAACTCAAAATTCTATCAGCGAAATTTCATCGGTTAGAAAGGAACTCATATCATCTTGTTCTAGATTTGAAGAACAGCATTTTTAACAATCTAGTAAGAGAATTGTGTAGGCTGTGCAAACGTCTAATACTTCCTATCATGTCATCAGATTCGCTACCTCAACCACGCGCCATATACGATCGAAATTCAACATTGTGGTCGAACAAGGATGAATGTTTCTTTCGTGATTTTCAAATTAAGCCTACTCGTCAAACAGGACCACATTGTGTATCAACAGTTCTTGCCATGTTAACCGGAAAGAAACCTGAAGATTTTCAAGGCAAAATGAATACACAAGATCCATGTTCATGGTCACGAGTATTACAACCATATGGAATGAAATTAGCTTATTGTCCGATGGATGTACGAAAATTAAAATTTTACATGGACAAACTGATTGCATTCGATGATCTCTTTACGCTAAGCTATTATACAACTCTTGATCCTAAGGAAATTCTTGCCGATCCAGATAATGCAGGCTGGATAACTGGTTCGCATATAGTTATTTTACATCGCAATCAAATTATTGATCCAGTTTTGGGAAGGACAACTCCAGCATTGGAACATGAATGTAACGATTATCATACGAAACGTATTTTTCGTGTTGTGCCTTGCGATTATGTTCGTGGACTTTGATTATAGATGACACTATGTTGAGAAATTTTATTGATTTATTCCTACATGATAAACAGCACTTTCGCTTTTGATGGTTAACAACGATTAATACTTGAAGAATACCAAATATACGTAAAAATATAACACCGTTAAATATCTATTCAGGCAAAACTCGATAGAGAAACAGCGGTGTGTCTGAATGAATTCTTTTAACACAAACCTGGGGTGTGGGTGGTGTGGATGTGGGTGTGTGGCTGTGAGGGGTGTGTGGGTGGTGTGGATGTGGGTGTGTG